AATAGATAATATATATATATATATATATATATATATATATATATTACAATATACATATATACATGTATTCTTTCGAATCCCCAATGCATTTTGATTTAACATCAACGTAATCTGGATATGGAACAACAATTTATAGTTTTTATAATTATTAAAAACGAAAAGACATCTGCATCGCTGCATAATAATTTTTTAATTCTATTCTTTTTTAATTCCAGGTTTGACGTGTTCATTAAAGGATTAACGAGGCGATATTAAATATAGTAGTTAAATATATACAAACGATATAAAGTATTATTATATATAAGCTATGTGTAAAACACGTCAGAAAATATTTACCACATTACTATTTTACAAAAGAATGATAAGGGACATCACGAGTACGTCGATGCGACGAAATTCACATTATGTGTTGAGCTATATTTTTCTGGAATATCTGCATCGTAGATTTCAAAGATTGCTCAAACAAAATCTCAGTTGGATCACATTACCGAATACAGTTTTAAAACGTATGTTGGCCGATTTAGAGATAACACGAAACGAATACGTCGATTATGATTCCTGTGCAATAGCGAACATGCAACTCTCAAGAAAACCATCGAGTTCTCCTTGGTTCAACATATGTTCGATGGCATTAATGATGAGATATAAATTAATGATTATATCCGTACCGGAGATTAATGAGAATGTTATCCTGATCTCTGAAACGACGGAGCATAATTTACAAAAAATTTTTCGTTGTGAACAATTAGACGGTTCGTGTTTCATATGTAGGTATTTATAGTCTACCAGGTATATTGGTACTTGAAATTTAAACTCTAAATCATTCACGTCTTTTAATATTCAATATGATTTTTTTTTCGCGTGACCAATAAACTGCGATTTATTTTTAGTACCATCAGAAGACGATGCAATCGAGTTTGCCGCCGAGGCAAGAATATCCTTAATCGCTAATCCGCAGAATTGCGCGACCGAAACGCTGGATGTCATGTTGCAAAATTATTTTCTATATCCCAGATTTTTACACGTGAACGACGTGTTCAGAATCGATGCGAGAGAATACGGTCAAGATCGGTTTTACTCATCTGCTTCTCCAGGGATCTCTGCAATATATTTTACAGTTAGAGCTCTCAGAGTGAATCGTAATGGGCATAGCAGCAACGTTAACAGCTGTTACGTTGTACGTGGAGAGTCAACACTCATTCAGGAAACACAGGTCCACGATTACATTCCTCGAGAACGCGTTTGCTCGCTTCCTAATGGCATCTTACGATGGAACGACGTGGCACAAGAATTGCTGAATCGTAGATATCCATCGGCTCTGATGGAATCTCTGGAATATTTAGAATCTTGCATCATGCCGTTTCTAAAAAAGGGTAAACGATAGTTTTTGTGCACATTTACGGAAATGATAATATCGATTAATAATGTTTGAATGATTCATAATCGCTATAGATACATTAGGTTCTGATACATTCTGTTCTTTTTGGCTGAACTGGTTGTACTAGTTCAATTTATCTTTCTTTCTTACAGGAAAAACTGCAATTAGTTCAGCTAAAAAGAACAGACCTATTTCTTATTTCTTATGTCGACTTTGCAGATGTACAATTGAACATAAGACCGGTATTTCTTGTGAAAGGATCACGGGGTTGTGGTAAACATAAATTAGTTCGAGCTGCGTCCAAAAGAATAGGTTTGAACTTCCTCGGTATTGATTTCGTGGAGGTGCAGACTTTAACATCCGCGCAGACCGAAGCCAAACTCCGCATGATGTTGCAGAATGCTCAACAATGCGTACCATGTATATTATATCTAAATAATATTCAAGTGCGTTGAAGAGAGTACTAGATTACACCTTAACGATCGTGAATTACATCTAGATGACGTTTTTTGCAGGTGTTCGGTAAGACTGTTGAAGGCCAAAAGGACGAAAGAGTTATATCCGCTTTTTCGACGGAGATCACTATGTTGTACGATAAACCTCGGAAATTTCCTCTGATTATTGTAGCTGCGTCGGATGAGACTGACATTCCTGCGGAACTGCAAAGGATATTCATCGAGACGATTCACATAAAGCATTTAAATCAAAGTGAACGAGTGAAATTGATATCTTGGTTTTTGTCCAACAGGAATCTAACGACTACTGCGAACCTAGAAGAAATAGCTGGTCTTTGCTCGGATTTTAAATTTGCGGATCTGTTAGCGTTATTGTTGCATGCAGTTAAATTTCGATGTAAATCAATGCCGCGCGATCAGAAATGTACATTTATTCTGGAACAAGAAGATTTTGATCGAGCTTATGGTATGATTATCATATATCGATTTCAGTAATATAAAAAAAAATCTTAAAAATATTTAGTAACAGACATATATTTTCAGAGTATATGCAGTCTATATATTCAGACAGTACAGGTGCTCCGCGTGTGCCAGAAGTTCATTGGAAGGACATAGGTGGTTTGGCGGAATTAAAACATGAAATTATTCGTAGAATTCAATTGCCTCTGTTGAACGCCTTCGGATTTGGACAATCCGGATTATTATTATATGGCCCACCTGGTACCGGGAAAACTCTTCTCGCTAAAGCAGTGGCGACGGAATATCGGATACACTTTTTATCGATTAAAGGTCCGGAAGTGTTAAATATGTACGTCGGTCAGAGTGAGAAAAACGTCAGAGAAAGTACGTAATTTAATTAAAAGAAACATAAAAAATTGTGATAAAAATGTATAAAAAATTATGAATTCAATTTGCAAAATAATAAACTTTTCTCGTTTCTTCCGCAGTTTTTGAGCGTGCGCGTTCCGCGGCTCCTTGCATCATTTTCTTTGACGAGTTAGATTCGTTGGCGCCTAATCGAGGTAGAAGTGGAGACAGCGGCGGCGTAATGGATCGCGTAGTTTCCCAATTACTCGCTGAGATGGATGGCCTTGAAGAATCCAGCAGTATCTTCATCATAGGAGCCACGAATAGACCCGATCTCATAGATCCTGCGCTGCTCCGACCTGGAAGATTCGACAAAATGCTCTATGTCGGTATTCACTCCGACCGTGCATCTAAACTCAGCGTTTTGGAAGCGCAGACACGTAAATTCGAGTTTCAAGAAAGCGGACGAGAACTGGAACAGATCGTGGATCAATTGCCCGACAATGTCACCGGCGCAGATTTGTACTCGGTCTCTTCCAATGCTTGGCTCAATGCTGTACGCGAGATGCTTGCAAAGCAGGAAATTAAGAAGACTAACAAAGATTACTCTATTGAGGATGAAGGTGTAATTAAGGATAATGTTATCGTCGAATTGCATCATTTTTCAGATGCTATTCGCGACTTAGTACCTTCAGTTACCGATGAAGAGATAGAAAGATATAACAGAATGCGGGTAGAGTTATCATCGTTATAATTTTGAAACCATCTTCTAAATAACCTATAGTACAAAATATACATTTAATTTCTCTCAAAATTTCCCCAATATTTTGAATAATGAGTAACCAAGTCGATTGTTCGCAATGCTAGATTTTACAACGTATGTTTTTACAACGTATTTTATCATATGCCAAAATGTTCAATTCTTCGCGAACATCGCGAACATTAGAGCGTATTAAATAATATCTGTCAATTTATCTGTGAAAAGGTACAATCTCGCAATGAAACAACGCGCAATATTATAAATGACATGTTATTTTATTTCGAGGAGTATGTAAAACAATTTTTACAGCGAATAATTAAAATGAAGGAGTCAAATCTACGTTCGTTATCTTCGATTCCGTGTCGTCAATTAATGTCTTGCAAGTACCTGCATCGCGTACTTGCATCGAATCATCATCCTCAGCCGTTGAGAAGCGCAAAAGTGTCAAAACTTTCGCTCCGCTTTCGAGGCATCGGCTTACCTCGTACGCTTTTCACACGTGTTCTCGGTATGTTATACGGTATACAACGACCAGAATATACAATGTAGAAAAATAGGACACCTAAATTCACCGAATGCATCCATGCGAATGTCGAGCCCAAAGATAAAGGCTGGAAATCCTATTAGGAATGGCGATGGTATTGCGATTAGGTGCACAATAGGAAGCGAATAAAATTATCAGGTGCGTCGATTCTTATGTCGACGGTAATCGCACGATAAATTTCAGTACTAGTGATTCTCGCAAAACGCTACGGTTGCCAATTCGAATTTGCCAGATAAATCGTATCCGCTTTTCCTAACGGCGCGTCT